GGACATTGACTGGGCCAAGCCACTGGTCTGTCTATGGACACAGGCAGCACAGCTAAGGATCAAACTCGCACGTGCACTCCCATAGGAACAGTCAATCTCTATCTGCACACAAGCACTTCTCAAAAAAAATTAAAAAAAAAAAACAAACAAAACAAAAAAAAAAAAAAAAACACATTTTGAAAACATCAGATCCAACATATTTTCTGGGTGAAAATATGATGGATATCTATACTGATATGGACTGCATAATGCGTTAGGAATGTAAGGATGCCCCATTGTTTGATGGAAATGAAAATTATCAACCTACAGAGGACTGAATTCAAAGACCCCCCGAAAATCAAATTGCAAAAATTATGCAGCAGGATAGTCCATTTTGCTGAAATTTCATTGCAGCAACTCAAAATGGTACTCAGCAGTTTGTATGGCCCCCACGTGCGTGTATTCATGCCTGACAATGTCAGGGCATGTTCCTAATGAGACAACGGATGGTGTCCTGGGGTATTTCTTCCCAGATCTGGACCAGGGCAGATCACTGAGCTCCTGGACAGTCTGGGGTGCAACTTGGCAGCATTGGATGGACAAAAACATGATATCCCAGGAGGTGTTCTATTGGATTTAGGGCAAGCGAGTGTGGGGGCCATTTAATGATACAATTCCTTCATCCTCCAGGAACTGCCTGCATACTCTTGCCACATGAGGCCGGGCATTGTCGTGCACCAGGAAGAACCCAGGACCCACTGCACCAGCGTAGAGTTTGACAGTGGGTCCAAGGATTTCATCCCAATACCTAATGACAGTCAGGGTGCCATTGTCTAGCCTGTAGAGGTCTCATACAGATGTATGCCATCCCAAACCTTCACTGACCCACCACCAAAAAAAAAAAAAAAAAAAAAAAAAAAAAAAACGGTCATGCTGAACGATGTTATAGGCAGCATAACATTCTCAACAGCTTCTCCAGACCCCGCCACATCTCACGTGCTCAGAGTAAATATGCCCTCATCTGTGAAAAGCACAGGGCGTCTGTGGCAGACCTGCCAATTCTGGTGTTCAATGGCAAATTCCAATCGAGCTCTATGGTGCCGGGCAGGAGCACAGGGCCCACTAGCGGACGTTGGGGCCCTCAGGCCACCCTCATGAAGTCAGTTTGTTTGGTCAGTGACATTCACACCAGTGGCCTGATGGGGGTCATTTTGTAGGCCTCTGGCAGTGCTCATCTGGTTCCTCCCAAGTCATTCCAGTCACCTCATTAGTAAATAGTGTGAAATTAAACCTGTGTATAATTTAATCTCAGTATAAATACAGCTGTTCTGTGAAGTCCCTCAGAGGTTTGTTAGAGAACATTAGTGAACAAACAGCATCATGAAGGCCAAGGAACACAGGTTAGGGATAAAGTTGGAGAAGTTTAAAGCAGGGTTAGGTTATAAAATATATATATATATATACACACACACACACACACACACACACACACACACACACATACACATACATACACCAAGCTTTGAACATCTCATGAAGCACTGTTCAATCCATCATCCAAAAATGGGGAAAAAAAAAAAAAAAAAAGTATGGCACAACTGCAAACCTACCAAGACATGGCTGTTCACCTAAACTGACAGGCCAGGCAAGGAGAGCATTAACTAGAGAAGCAATTTAAGAGGCCCATGGTAACTCTGGAGGAGTTGCAGAGATCCACAGTTCAGGTGGGAGAATCTGTCAACAGGACAACTATTAGTCGTGTACTCCACAAATGTGGCCTTTATGGAAGAAGAAAGCCATAAGAAGTCCTGTTTGCAGTTTGTGAGAAGCCATGTGGGGGACACAGCAAACGTGGAAAAAGGTGCTCTGGTCAGAGGAGACCAAAATTGAACTTTTCAGCCTAAAAACAAAATGCTATGTGTGGCGGAAAACAAATGCTGCACATCACCCTGAACACACCATCCCCACCGTGAAACATGGTGGTGGCAGCATCATGTTGTGGGGATGCTTTTCTTCAGTAGGTACAGGGAAGCTGGTCAGAGTTGATGGGAAGATGAACTTAGAAGAAAACCTGTTTGAGTCAGCAAAATGCTTGAGACTGGGGCAGAGGTTCACCTTCCAGCAGGATAACAACCCTAAACATACAGCCAGAGCTACAATGGAATGATTTAGATCAAAGAATATTCATGTGTTAGAATGACCCAGTCAAAGTCCAGACCTAAATCCAATTGAGAATCTGTGGCAAGATGTGAAAACTGCTGTTTACAGACGCTCTCCATCCAATCTGACAGAGCTTTAGCCATTTTGCAAAGAAGAATGGGCAAAAAAAAAAAAAAAATGTGTAAAGCTGGTAGAGACATCCCAAAAACACTTGCAGCTGTAGTTGCAGCGAAAAGGTGGCTCTACAAAGTATTGACTCTGGGGGGCTGAATACAAAACGCTACACTTTTCAGATATTTGAAGAAAAAAAAAAAAGAAGAAGAAGGTTGAGAACCATTTATCAGTTTCCTTCCACTTCACAATTATTTGCCACTTTGTGTTGATCACAAAATCCCAATAAAATACATTTTTTGGTTGTAACATGACAAAATGTGGAAAATTTCAAGGGGTATGAATGCTGTGTATATGTTGCCATTATCACTTAAGGACAGCCAAAACCAGCTGCCTACTCTGCATTATGGTACAATCTTCCAGCTGGATGGAACCGCTGAGTATAAGGGGGGCCGGGAACTAACATTCCCTGAAATCAGTGACAGATGCAGAAGGTTCTTCAGCCTCTTCAAGAGAGACTATAGTCTGAGGCACCATGTGGGACAGTTAAACATAATACTCCTTTTACAGGTTTCAAACAGGAGTCACATTAACTACATCAAAACGCAAATCATGGTTACTTCACCAGTATAAAATCCTCTGACTCACTTCCCAAACTAAACTGATTTGAGCAGTGCAGCAAGAACCAGGAAATGTCTGCTTTGCCTTCATGGTCTTGAGTAACACTTCAAATGCAGCTTTATACCATGAACCTGTAAACATCTGACTAAACCCATATAGACTAGAAATACAGGTTGGGGCTATACAAACAGAAGCTTATCAGCATATGCACAACCATTTAAAAAAAAAAAAATAATGTCCTTTTAAAAAGAAGCATATTAGACTTGAACATATCCATTAAATCTGTTATTTTCATTGCAGGGAGGACTTTGTCAAGTTTTTTTTTCCATTCTAGTGACAGTATCTTCAAAGCTAAAACACCCAAGTGTAAAAAAAAAAAAAAAAAAGAAGAAAAAGCCCTTGCAGTGGACCACTCTGACTAGCAGAAGTGTCAGCACAATGGCTGGACAAAATTATTTGTCAAAAGGAAATAAAAAAAATAAAAAAGAAACACCAAAAGATATTTAACTTGCCAGTACTCCTCCACTGTTCATTCCTCTTAAGTGGGCACTAGATGCTAGGTGAAGTAGTGATGTCACTCCCTCATGTCACAGTGCTCAAACCTAGTGATTTTCTGCTAGGCTCGAGCACTGTTACACAGGAGGTGGTCATTTGTACCTCCATACCAGTGTTTTTTTTGTTTTTTTTTTTTTAAATACTGATGGGCCATTTGTCTGAAAACCGACCTGGCCGGTAATACACCTGTATTAGAATGCCTACACGCTGGATAAAGAAGCAAGACAGCATCACTGTCAGTCTGGTGAAAGTGGAGTGTTAGACATACTATCAGATTTAGATACACTAACAAACTGAAGCCAAACTCCAGCTCATACTGCAATTAAAGCAACAGTTTCTCTTTTAGGGATAAAGACTTTTTCATGAATAAAAAGCTGATCATTGTAGGCATCTCTCTATGGTAAAAGGTTTGTCTCACACCAACTGCTACATTTGCAGGGGAGCTTGTTCTCTTGAAACCACAGACTTACTGGCTGAATCACCAGATGGGAAGAAAAAAAAAAAAAAAAAAAAAAAAAAAAACACACACACACCACACAAAGCAGCCAATTACATCTAGGAATTAGTAAGCTGAAAAATACTGGGTTTAATACTGCTTTAACAACTTCCCATCCAGCCTATCGCAAAATGACAGCTGGGTGGGCCTTTTGTCGTTCCAGGTGGATCTAGAGGACAATCTACCAAAACACAACCGCGCTGTGTCCACTGGACACAGCTGATGGCAGACCACTGTACCGGCCTGCTGCCGGTGCCATGTGATTGTTGTGACCAGAAAAGATCACATGACAATTATAAACAATGGCATCGATTCATGCCATTGTGTACAATTGTGTTGCTAGCTGTGATTACTCACAGTCATCACATGGTACAGACTGAGCCAATCACAGCCCATCTGTACCATGTGATTAGTTGTGGCCAATAATACATATTGAAAGAATGTATTTAATGCGGTAAAAATGTTTGCTTATAGCAGTGAACATGTTCATATACATTATGTTTCTTATTATAGAATATATTATAGTCAGCTACTGCATCCCTGAAGAGAAATCCATTAACCTCAAAACCTGTTGGATGCTTGCCTGTAAAATTCTAAATGTAATTTTGTATGTAACCATGATCAAATAATTCTTACATTGTCTTTAATGGAATTCAAATAAAAAATGATAATTTTTATTATAGGTTTCTTAGTTTTGGCTCATAGGTTGATTGTTCACCTCCCCAGAGTAGTAGAATGTTTACTATGGCAACATATTGCTCTGGTCAAACTGTTCTAAAAAAATTTTTTTTAAAGTTTTGTACCGTCACCAGTCAGCGTCCCTGACCACCGCCACACCAGTTATATGATGACACTGTACTGTGACAGTATGTTAAAAAAAAAAAAAAAAAAAAGTTTTGAAAAAACGCTTTTTTTTTTTTTTTTTTTTTTTTTTTTACATGAAAGTGGTCCTTAACCACTTCCCACCCATCATATTGTAAGACGTACGCAAGGTGGTTCTCTCGTTCTGGGAGGACGTCATATGACGTCCTCCCATTCTCACGGCGCATGCGCGGCTCAGGGAGCTCGCAGCGTGGCAATGCACTGTGTCCCTTGAACACAGCGGATCACCGATCACGGTACGAGCCGAAGATGTCGGCTCGGTCATGTGATCAGCTGTGTCCAGTCACAGCTGATCACATGTAAACAGGGAAATACCGGTTATCTGCATTTCTCTCCTCTTGAGCTGTCACGCCGACAGCTCGAGAGGAGAGAGCCAGTAATCAGCTTTCCGTGGAGGGGACACGTACACTGATCATCAGGGCACTGATGATCAGTGTGCCCTGATGATCAGTGTAGCCCCAGCAGTGCCACCTGTCAGTGTTCATCAGTACCTTGTGTCAGTGCCTCGTGCCAGTGTCCATCAATGCCACATATCAGTGCCTACCAGTGCACATCAATGCCACATATCAGTGCCCATCTGAGCTGCGTATCAGTGCCACCTAGTAGTGTAGCCTGCCAATGCCCATCAGTGCCACCTACCAGTGCCTCCTCATCAGTGCCCATCATTGAAGCCTCATTAGAGCATATCAGTGAAGGAGAAAAAAAATCACTTATTTACAAAAATTTTATAACAAAAACTAAGAAAAAAATTTTTTTTTTCAAAATTCAGTGGTTTTTGGTTTAAAAAAAAAAATAAAAAACCCAGAGGTGATTAAATACCACCTAAATAAAGCTCTATCACAAAATGATAAAAATGTCATATGGGTACAGTGTTGCATGACCGCGCAATTGTCATTCAAATTGCGACAGCACTGAAAGCTGGAAATTGGCCTGGGCAGGAAGGGGGTATAAGTGCCCTGTAGGCTACTGGTTAATACCACAAAAAGAAAACGGTGTGTGAACAAAATGATAAAAATGTAGCTTGGGTACAGCGTTGCATGACCACATAATTGTCAGTGTGACAGCTTGGAAAGCTGAAAAATGGGCCTGGGCAGGAAGGGGGTAAAAGTGCCTGGTATTGAAGTGGTTAAGGTCGCCCAAGATCTTGCAGTAATAAAATATGCAACACTCATCACTGTGTCATACAAATCGATGTAGTGTTTACTTTAACTAGATATAATCATAGAACACATGAAACTTATGTCTGGGAAAAATTTTAGCAGCCAAGAGCTGTTTTTTTTTTTAGCCTCTCTATTATGAGAGGTAGAATGTTCTCTACATTGACTAGGAAGTGTCCACTGGTTCATGGACTAGGCTGACTGCTTTCTGAACTCTGCATGCATCTCAACACTCTTTAGCCAAATGTGTGTGGACCATTTAAAAAGGCAAGTAAAACAATATTTTAATCTAACTGAATGGCCCAGATTTAGGATATTCCATCTGCAATACCACTACGTAGCTTGTCACAAATAGTAAAATACACTCTATTGTACAGTTTAATGCCTTAGACTATATATGTTCATGCCCACTATAGAATATGTAAACCTTAAACAGATTTCAGTATTATAGTCATGTTGAATAAGTAAAAAATGTTTGATCAAGTTTAAAGGATTTGCTGCAGTTTAACAAATTAAGAAAAAAGCAAGCACATGCAGCACAACATTGACAGCAAAACCACAACTGTTTTTCTCTTTCAACTACAAATTTGGACAGGTAGAGGATGGTAAACCCTGTATACAAACACTAGGTATCATACGGTACATTTTTCTGCATAACTTTTTTTTAAACTTTTCTTACACTCCAGCTACATATGATGTGTGGAAAGCAGTGAAACCTCCATACAGTACTACACATGCTCCCATCAGCAGACGCACACCACTAATAACCCCACATGTAAGAACAATAGAATGGCATTCCAGGCAATGGCCTTTCCCATAAAAGTAAAAAACAGAAGCAGGATCAGCATCACCGATGGGAAAAGCGGTCACACACAGATCCTTTGCCTGTTAACTGCAAGAGAACACAAGTTCTACATCTTGAATAATCGGAGTATCATTTTAGTATATTTAAAAATGTTTTTGCATGCCTAAAAATGACTTTGAACAGTTCATTTCTCAGGACAGGGTTTTGTTAGATCAACACCCCTTTCTGGTCTATGTTCTACTTGCATACTGATAAGAATAGAGTGGGTAGTCCTCCCAAAGGCTTGTCCTGAACAACTCACTATTACATTTAAAACAGTACTCAAAATTTGTTGAAAGTGGACTAATACGAAAGAGATGGTATGTTCCAGGGATGTGGCTAAAATGGATCAGCTTCACGTGTACTAATTGTACTGCATACTTCAGGGCTTCATATGTTGTATGTATGGAAACATAACTGTGTGCCTATTGCTGTGCCAAGTTTATCTACATTCCATTCAAATGTGATTTTATTGTAAAAGTTGTTATACGATTTCTTCAAAATAAAGAATTAAAAAAGAGAAAGTGGACTAATACAGCTACAAATCAATTTGTATAACATTTCAGAATGTTTGGGCCAAATGTGTAGAGGGAGATGCCATGGCATTATTGAATAACTGATAACATTTGCAACAACCCACAGCAACCAATAAAAATGCTCATTTATCTGAAGACAATCTAAATCCTGATTAGAAGTAATAGCCAATACCTCTCATCACAGGTCACTGTTTATAAACATGACAAACCAATGTAGGCCAAAAATAATGCGATTCTTTCCGGCAACCAGTCGGTGTTGATGGGGGGGGGGATCCACTCCTGTGGAGCTATTGAGATCTCTCATCCGGGGGCACAGGGAGCAGTCCCTGCTGGAAGAACAGGGATTGCTAGTGGCTATAGCGGTTGGTGATAATTGCATGTAAAAATCAGAAATGCTGGTTGTACCCAAATCAATCGACTTGGGTACAATTGGCCAGCTCATATGACAGTGGTAATCTTAGCCAGTCCCTACTGAACAGGCAGAAATTCAAACCCTCTATGGCCAGCTTAAAGCAGACTCGCTCAACCTTTTGGCACAGGAGAACTTTCTGGGCTCAGTGAACCACAGCTAATAATTATGATATCTAGACATTAGTGGGATGGTCAGTGGGAAGAATGTTCTCTTTACGTTTGAAGTTAGTGGAAAGAATTCTTACCTTGCAAACAGCCTTTGCCATTTTTAAGCTCTTTTTAACCGTTTCCTGTCTGCCCTAAAGCAGAAGTACTGCTACAAGGCGGCACTGGAGCGATATATATCCTACAAGGACGTTGTAACTACCCAAATGCAACTAAAATGACATCAATTGTTTATGTAATACAGTAGTAAATGGTTCTTATGTGGTTCTTCATTGCCACAATTATTCAACCCCTTAAAGACTACCACTCTGAAGAACAGAGGTTCATACAGGTGCTTTCCATCAGGTATTGAAAACACCTGTGGATGTCACCGAGCAGCAATCAAGCATAATAAGCACCAATTAGGCAGCTTTAAAATGACTGTGATACTCAGCTCCTTCTAGACATTTACTGGTGTGGTTACAAACATGGTGAAGGCAAGAGAATGTCCAGGAAGACAAGAGAAGAGGTGATTTCTCTCACAGGAAGGGCAATGGCTATAAGAAGATTGCAAAGATGTTAAACATACCAAGAGACACCTTAGGAAGCATCATTCGCAAATTCAAGGCAAAGGGCACTGTTGAAACGCTACCTGGTCGTGGCAGAAAGAAGATGCTGACTTCGACTGCTGTGCGCTACCTGAAGCGTAGAGTGGAGAGAAGTCCCCGTGTGACTGCTGAGGAACTGAGAAAAGATTTGTCAGATGTGGGTACAGAAGTTTCAGCCCAGACAATAAGACGCACACTGCGTAATGAAGGCCTCCGTGCCAGAACTCCCAGGCGTACCCCCTTGCTGTCTCCAAAGAATAAGAAGAGTCGACTGCAGTATGCCAAAAGCCATGTGGACAAACCACAAAAGTTGTGGGATAGTGTTCTGTGGACTGATGAAACAAAATTAGAACTGTTTGGGCCCATGGATCAACGCTATGTTTGGAGGAGGAAGAACAAGGCCTATGATGAAAAGAACACCTTGCCTACTGTGAAGCATGGTGGAGGGTCAATCATGCTTTGGGGCTGTTTTGCTTCTGCAGGTACAGGGAAGCTTCAGCGTGTGCAAGGTACCATGAATTCTCTTCAGTACCAGGAGATATTGGATGGAAACGTGATGCAGTCCGTCACACACAAACCTGAGGCTTGGGAGACCTTTTTATTGTTTTGCATTTTTCAATTCATTTTTTGTTTTTTTTTTTTTTTTTTTTTTTAAAAATTTTAATTACAATTTTTACCGCTTCATATCAATTTTCTTGGACCTTTCAACACAGGCTCTTTTTCTTTCGGACAATGATCCCAAGCATACCTCCAAGTCCACTAGAGCATGGTTGCAGAGGAAAGGCTGGAACATTTTGGAGTGGCCATCGCAGTCACCAGACTTAAATCCGATTGTGAACCTCTGGTGGGACTTTTCTTGCAGTGCGCAAGCCTAAGAATGTGACTGAACTGGAGGCCTTTGCCCATGAAGAATGGGCGAAGATACCCGTAGATCGCTGCAAGACACTTGTGTCAAGCTATGCTTCACGTTTAAAATGCTGTTATAACTGTAAAAGGATGCTGTACTAAGTACTAAGATTGAATGTCACTTGGGGGTTGAATAAAACTGATAATGCTGTGAGCACAGAAAAGACATTTGTGGTTATTTCATTATAACTGTTTGTTATATTGTCTGACCTACAAGTGCCTCTTTAATGTAAATGTAAGCAAGATGACTGAATGATCAAAAGCAATGTCAAACTGGCCAAAACACTCAATTTCAGTGGGGGTTGAATAATTTTGGACACAACTGTATAATATATATAAATATATATATATATATAATATATAATATCATAAATATATATATCTCTCTATCTATCTATATACATACACAACACACACACACACACACACACACACACACACATAATACACATATATACAATACACGATTTTGAAGTTCTGGGTAGAGGGCACGTGTGTCTTACCCACGCCGCCATTTGCAGCCTCGGCTGTCAATCACCAGGTCCCAGCTGGTGATTGCTGAGCATACTCCCGAAGGGGGGGGTTTTAAACAATACAGTTCTCTCCCGTCACTGCTTTGCATGGCTGTGCATAGCCGAACCATACAAATCAGTGTGCTTACAGCGAAGCACTAACAGCACACTTTGTAAAACGCACACAGTTAACCCTTTTCTTGCCCCTCATGTTAAACCCTTCTGCCCAGTGCCATTAGTACAGTGTCAGTGCTTTTTATTAGTACTGATCACTGTATGGTGTCACCGGCATCCCCATGACACCAAGTCAGTTCCACCCAGTGTCAGAATGCTCGCCACAGTCCTGCTATAAGTTGCTTATTGTCCCATTACTAGCAGAAGTAATTTAAAAAAAAATTCCAGTATACAGTCATGGCCAAAATTGTTGGCACCCTTGATATTTCTCCAGGAAATCATGTATTTCTCACGAAACGTATTGCATTAACACATGTTTTGCTATACACGTTTATTCCCTTTGTGTGTATTGGGACAAAACAAAAAAAGGGAGGAAAGAAAGCAAATCGACATAATGTC